ACTAGAGTTGCGGGATTTATTCCGTTTGTACGTTAATCAGATTACAGATGGTGCTGACGTTGTGTGTGACTGCGTTTTCGCAAATATTTTCAACAGTTCCAGTCGGTTTATCGGCATCTTCCAAAAAATGGTTAATATTTGGGTCACGTGGTTCGGCAACTTATTCAGCCATAATGGCCGCAAATGTTATCGGGCAAATTGAGAGGCACGGAAAGACTCCTCATGTGTCTCGGTTGTTATGAGGGTACTCTATTTTCAAAAATGGTTGATAAAATTAAGACTATTAGGCATGCAAAGAGAAGAACACAATATCAATAAAATATTTTCAGATTTAGAAAATCCCATATTATATAATAAATATGAAATTGCAAGATAACATCAAAACTTCCACATAATTTTAAAATAATGAAACCAACATACCAGAATTATCCTAAATTTCGATAAACATACATGAGATCAGAATAAATAAGTAATACCAATAAATATTTTTGATAAAACTTTATATATATATATATATATATATATATATATATATATATATAGTGGAGGAAATAAATATTCGTACACTTGAAAAATTGTATTTTTATAAATGTAAAAGCCTTAAATGAAACAAATCGCGACACATTTTATGTATAAAAACCCATACTATTAAAAATAATAATAAACGTAATTAATTCTTTATCTAACACAAATTAATGCACTTTTCTAATTCCAACTGGTGAACAAAGTATTCGTACAAATCAATTATTAGAATAAAATAATCAATTAATTATGAAAAAATGTATATTCTAGATTGTTCCAACTGGATAATGATCCTAAGCATACCGCTAGATCTTCAAGGAAATTGTCAGCTGAAAGTAACTTTGATGTCTTGCAATGGCCAAGTCTGTCCCCAGACTTTAACCTAATCGAGAATTCATGGCGATATTTTTAAATTTCAAATTGGGAAAAGAGCACCAACAAATATCAAGAACTTGAAGACAATATGCCAAGAAGAATGGGATAAAATACCACTCAATTTGTGCAAATCATTAGTTGAGACGAAAAGGAATAGACTGGTAACTGTCGAACTTAAAGGATATTCAACAAAGTATTAAATTAAGATAATATGTTTTTTGTTTTGTACAAATACTTTTTTCATCAGTTAAAATGAAAAAAAAATGCATTAATTTCTGTTAGATTAAGAATTAATTGAGGTTATTTTTTTATAAAATATATCTTTACACATAAAATGTAACAACATTTTTTTAGTTAAGGCTTTTACATTTATAAAAATACAATTTTTCATGTGTACGAATATTTATTTTCCCCAAATATATATATATATATATATATATATATATATATATATATATATATATATATATATATATATATATATATATATATGTGTGTGTGTCTGTGTGTGTGTCTGTGTGTGTCTGTATATATGCATACATATATATATATATATATATATATATATATATATATATATACATCCAATATATATATATATATATATATATATATATATATATATACAGTGACACTAATTACTTGATATTTTGTGCATTCCGCTTATGAACTTTAACCTCCAAAGTATTCCACAAATTCTCAATTGGATTCAAGTCAGGAGACCAATTGAGAGTACTAATACCATTTTTTTCAAACCATTCCTTTGTAAGTTTTGCGGTATGTTTGGGATCATTGTCGTGATGAAGCACGAAATTCCGACTATGTCCTAAAGAAGTTGCAGATTTTTGAAGAATCTAGAATCTTCCTGTACATGCTACCATTCATTCTACCATGAATAACTTGTAACTCACCACTGCCCTTGGATGAAAAGCATCCCCATATCATAATGGAAGCACCCCCAAATTTACTGTGGGGATGATATTGTGCTTGTTGAAGGCAGTGCCATTTTTTCGCCAAACACTTGTCACTGTGTTCCTTCCGAATAGTTCAATTTTCGTTTCATCCGACCAGATTACCTTTTCCCAAAACTGCATACCTTTCTTTTCATAAGTTTCGACAAACCTTAATCGGTCTTTGATATATTTGGTTTTCTGTAACGGCAATTTTCTTGGTGATCTTGAATGAAAGCCTGTACGATATAGAGCTCTGCTAATGGTATCCTTATTTAAATTAATTCCAGCACCCTCAAGGTCAGATTTAATTTCAGAACGAGTAATGAAGGATTTTTTTGCACATTTCTGCTGATCCACCTTGAAGTACTCTCATTTATTTTTCTTGGTCTTCCATTTCTTGGAAGGTTTGCTGTACCGTCGCCATACTTCTTGTACTTTCTGATAATATTTTCTACTGTACTTAGTGCTAGATTCATTTCTTTGCTAATTTTTCAGTAACCTTGTCCTCCTTTGTGACGTTCAATCATTCTATCTCGCATATCTCTGGATAATTCTTTAGTTTTTGCCATTTTTAATCCTTGAATTTCAGAATGCACATCAAAGAGTCAGATGATTAGTAGCACTATCTTGTAAACAATTGTGTGCTTCTCTGATTGGTCAGAGATAACATTCCAATACTATCGGAAATAGGAATATTTAAAGTCTTTTAAAATACAAAGTTTCGATTGGAAATTCGAAAAAAGTGTCATGTATCCAATACTTTTGCATTGGGTAATTTTGAACTTTAATAAAAAAATGGATTCAACCTAAGGTTTTTAATTTTCCTTCCACATACAACTAAAACAATTTTACGAGATATAGAACATAGAAGTGGCCTGACGATTGCATATAGCATGAAACAGACTGTCGCCTCTAAGTGTAGACTTCTATGTTCACTTTTATATTTACACACGCTCTATCTCTGATATAGAGCACTTTATCCTATAAATATACACACACCATATTTCTTCATATATATATATATATATATATATATATATATATATATATATATATATATATATATATATATATATATATATATATATATATATATATATATATATATATATATATATATGTGTGTGTGTGTGTGTGTGTGTGTGTGTGTGTGTGTGTGTGTGTGTGTGTGTGTGTGTGTGTGTGTGTCATTTCATCCCAAGCAAGGCGGGAATTCCACTGGCAAGTAGAAGATTACAGAGAATGAAGCTGAGAGAAAATATTGGGTATATGGGAACTGAGGAAAGGATAAAAGCTAAATGGTTTTCAAGAAGATAGAAGATGGCGACTGATGTTGCATTTACATTTTCCGAGATTGTAAATTTGATGGAAGAAAGGTACCAGAAGTGATTTCCAAAGGCTAGAAGGTCGAGAAAATAAACTTATAGAGTAGAAGTGGTGATTACATTTAACTAATTCAACAGCAAAACGGTGAGACCTAGATCCCAAACTAGTAGCACGCTTAAGCTCACATATTTCCGCACCAGGTGAAAAGCTCGTCAGAAATAGTGTCATGAAAATGCTTGTAGATTAGACAAAGGGAAAACTGAAGTCGAGATGCCAAGTCAAGATCGATTATATTAAGAATTCTTCTTTGGATTTTGTCAATTACCCTGGGATGAGTAGCAGAAGCACTAAACAGATATGGTAACAGTATTCATTACACGGACGAAACGTCGATTTGCAAATGAGCAAGATTGACTTTGACGAAAAAGACCTTCTGGCCCGATACTGAACGAATTTTCTTGGCAAAAGATACAGCTCTTGATTCGATGTAGTCGTTTCACTTCAAGTCAGTTGAAAACGTGGGGCCAAGAGAGTCGCAATTTCTTGATAGTCTTGATCTAGCATCATCCATGTTGATGCCTGACAGGAGTGTTTCTCTATGGTGCTTAAATGAGAGCGGTTTAATTTTCGAGGCTTTCAAACTTAGGAACCATTTTTTACCCCTGTTAACCACTGATTGAGGGTGCTTTTCAAGAGCAGCCACCATATTACCTTTGTCAGCTCTGACGGATTTGCAATTCAGACAGGAGAAAATGCTTGTGTCATCAGCATAAATGCCAACTTGGGAAGTTATGACAACAAAAATATCATTGATGATGATCACAAACCGCATGATAGTTCTTGTATTAAATCAAACAGTCCATAGGACTATTAGTTTTAAGTTTATATTTGATCTCGCAAGCGTCAATTGATTTCACTATTATTTTATACTAATAGTTTTCTATCTATCTATCTATCTATCTATCTATCTATCTATCTATCTATCTATCTATCTATCTATCTATTCCGTCATCTGTATGACGATTAACTACATCTTCTACAGGTTAAGACGATAAACTACGTCCAACAACAAGGCCTCTGTTCATGAGGTTTTGAGGAGCGTGTGACCACCTCTTAAGTGCTGGTGTTCCCAGGTCCACCCTGACACGGGATGGTGGCACTTGTTAGGGTCCCAGCTATGGGCTAGTAGTTATAACTCAGGTAAAAAACATTAAAAAAGTGTAAAAATAAGTTTTAATACTAGTAATACTTTGTAAAAATTCTTACCTAAATACATTTTTGAAGAATTAATACTATTAGCAGCAATATATTTTTGAAAAAGACTATTACCAGCAATACGTTTTAAAAAAAATATTACCATCAATACATGTTTTAAAATAACATTACCAGCTATAAATTTTTGAGGAAAAATATTACAGAAATAAATTTTTGACAAAACAAATTATTACCATGAAAAAAAAAGGTCCTGGCATTAAATAACCCATTGAGGTTGATATGCCGTAAAACACAACAAACCAAACCGCACAAAACTATTTATCTATCTATTCATCTAATTGATGTTTGAAATAATTGAATGTATTGCATCCAAAAATTATGTGTTCGCCGTTTATTTTTATATCTGAATTTTAATTGGATTTCGCAGATCACTATAAAGACAGAAACTTTTATAATCGATCAGTATTTCCATTCTTTGTACATTATGTTCCTCTATCAACTATGAATATAAACATTTCATTTTCACGGTCAAATAATAATTCTATCTATCTATCTATCTATCTATCTATCTATCTATCTATCTATCTATCTATCTATGCAGGCATAGGAGTATTCGGATAGGTTAAAGCCGAATCCATTGTCTGGTGTGAATGAAGGCAAGGGGCAGCAGGGGTCTGTTGTAAGGAAACAGCTCGATCACAATGTGACGATACATAAAAAAAAAACAAAAAAAAAAAACAAACAAATTTGACGAATTTGCGAAGATGCACGTATATGCTGTTCAAGGATTCCATTACCTCGCAAAGCATAACAAGATACAAGATAAATAACCTTGCTCTCGATTCCCACTGAATATAACTGAAAGGTAACATTTTCTTTCCTGATTCGATCATATCCGAATCCCAAACAATGTTGATAAATACGACTGCAGTAAACCCGTTGCCTGTTTGGAAGAATGTGTTTACCTTGAGAGATTATTCATCTAATAGCTTTCTTACAGGCGATTAGAAAACGATCGCCAAGGACAAATATTCCTATTCCCATTAACGACTTCTATATATTATGATTTAGTTCAAGGTCAACATGTGAGTATTTTTACTGTTTCCCTGTCAGCTGGGTAATATTCATTATGAATATTAACCAAAAAATGATTCATGAAGAATTTTATTTAACTGACCACGAAAAAAAATTGCAATTTAAATTGTTTCAGATATGTATATTTTCTTTCACACACACACACACACACACATATATATATATATATATATAGATAGATAGATAGATAGATAGATAGATAGATAGATAAATAAATAAATATAAACAAATATATATATATATATATATATATATATATATATATATATATATATATATATATGTAGATAGATAGATAGATAGATAGATAGATAGATAGATAGATAGATAGATAGTTATAGTTAAATGAACGCTGTAGATGCGCGTTAATACTATGTTGAAACAAATGGACGTTTTATAATTCAAATTTGTAGAATGTTTAGTCTAGAGAATTAATGAATGCTATATATTTCATAATTTTACACTTTCTTCAAAGATTCGCATAATATTGAGCATACATGTTGAGAAAATTCCCTAAACATAAGATTTTTTTTCGTAAAAAAAAAGCATAAAAGGATATATTGGTTATTAAATTATATACATTTAATCATTTTCAGTAACTTCGAACTTATATCTTTTTCTTACCTTAGCGGGTGAACATAAATTAGTTTCGTGTACGACCGTTGTTTTTGAAATTCTTGGAAACAAGAAAATAACTGTTGAATTTTAAAGAAACTTGCAAGACTTATTCATAAATGAATAGAAATATTCTAGGAGTGTTTCTTAGTGAAAATAAGTTTTATACATCTGTTACCTACAAATGCTTATTTAATTTTATGAAATTTCTAGAAATTCTTTATTAAGGCGTTTAATGTTTATATTACTTAAAAAGACAATTCCTTGGTTGTTTTAAATCACTAATTTGTTTTTGTCAAATAAGACCCACAAGTTACTTAGAATTTTCTTTGAATCAGAAAATAAGGAATATACATTATTTAATTAAAAAGAAACATACTTAATTGATTTTAAGAAAAATATACATTATAAAAACTATTGTTTTATGAAAATAATTTTTCCATGAAAAATAATGCAATGATACAAAAATTTTTCATTTAAAAAAAATGAATTATAATAATTTATGAAGTGTTAAATATTTTAAAATTCTACTTTAATTTTTAGTGGTCAGTTTATATTATTATTATGTAAAAAATATAGTGAATTATAAATGGAAAAGCTTAAGAGTATTCAGCGACCCCAATATTTTTTAAAAAATTACGATTTTTTGTGTCTGTAAACATGCCGATATTTGTAAATGCAAACGTCATTACGCATTATTATCAAAAAATAAAAGTAGTAACTATAGTAACTATTAAATTTATTCGTATTTTTTGACATTTGCTCAAGCAGCTTCTCTGTAAAGCCAAAATACATAAAATTAATTTAAATTCACTTAACATGTAAGATAGTTAAAAATAATTTAATTCACCTTCAATTCGTCAAATAGTTTTTAGTGTTATATAAACTTAAAAAAGCTAAACATTAATCTATTGAAGAATGTGTCAAAAGCAATTAAAAACACTCCAATTTCGTGTTAAAAATGCTCTTCTGCGACATTTTAAACTAAAATTAATACTTGCTATAATTCATATTAATTAAAATTTAAATGAGAAAATACTTTTCAAATAAACTTTCAGAAAGCTATAGTTTATTTTTAAAAGATTTTTAAATAAATATAATGATGTGGCGTTGACGGATTTGTCAATTTGGACGATTCTTTCGAGCGGTTACAAAATGTAATGCCAATCCATTGAAATTCGGTTAGTTTGCCTATCAGACTGAAATTGAAACTATCATTAAAGCTTCAGAAAAGACGTTTCATCTTTACAAAATAAAGTAAATTTAAGGTCACATAATGAGGGAAGAAGGTTAAAATTATTTGACACTCACATCTTTTTATTTGCTTTACGTGTGCCCTTCATCTGTGAGCATCTGTAAGCCTTCACTGACATATAGAAGGAAATTACTGATTAGTCCATTATTCCTGCTTTCTTTTACTAGCTTTTCTAAGAATTTCAGCAGTGTTTATTGTCTGTCATCAAAACTGTTTCGTCTGCATATCTTGTTAAGCCGGTGCCCGTCGATAATATATTGTGGTACAACCAATCTTAATATGCTTTAAAGATACCAGTTCCCAGATACAACAGTAAGGGTATTCAACAAAATGTGACAATAAATAGAATCGCCAGACACGATAACAAGGATATTTATGGATACTTCCGCGTACTTTTATGTAATACCATAGAACAAAGAGAACTGAAAGAAAATATCGTAGACGAATAATAAAAATGCTTTAAAATAGATAAAATTGCAGATACATATTAATAGGTTGATTTTTTGTCATACATAACTCCATATTTCCACAATCGGCTCTACTAAGCTCCTTAGATAGGTGCCTTACTGCTTTCTCCGTCACTTGCGACTTTTAGATATCGTGCGCGTATCAATTTATCCAATCATTCTTTCCTTGGTGTTTACAAGAAATTTCACCTTTTGGTAAAGTAATTATCATGTTTCAATTTAATGGTATTCTAAAGAAATCGTCCTGTTTCATTAAACTTTCCTGAAGTTTTCGAATTAGTTATTTGCTATTTCAGTACAGCCTTGGACTCCCTTGTCATATTTTATATATTTTAAAAATCACTTCCCGAATTTTAAGAATTCTAAATCAATTTCCAGTTCCATTTCCATTTCCAGTTCCAGTTTGCATCTTAGTTTTGTTCGCTCGCTGACAACCACGCACTCCGTACACTTAACAAGGAAGTGAAATTTGCGTGAATTTTGTTTATATTATTTTGGCTATATATGCTAATACCGAAAATAAAGCTCCAGGAAAAACAAGAAACATTTAGACAAGCTTGGAATACATATATTATAATGACAGTTAATACTTATGGATAAAATGATATATATATATATATATATATATATATATATATATATATATATATATATATATATATATATATATATATATATATATATATATATATATATATATATATATATATATATATATATATATATATAGAGAATAATATTCTTGTTACATGATGAAAAAGCTTCTGCCTGTATTTAAATGCTAATAATGATTATTTCGCTTTGAATATTAGGATCATTCTCCTTCCGATTATTCAAGCAGCGTTGATGTCATTTAATAACCGGCTGGGCAAATGCCTACAGTTATCTTCTCTGTTGTAAACAACTGATGTATCTTGAAGATTAAATGACAGGAGGATGTCTAAAGCCGTTTTCTCTATTCAATTACCGCGATTATGCATGCTAAAAAAAAAAGATATATCATCTACATTAGAACTATATATATGTGTGTGTGTGTGTGTGTCTGTGTGTCTGTGTGTGTGTGTGTGTGTGTGTGTGTGTGTGTGTGTGTCAAAGTGTAAAAGAACGAATAGTAAGATTACAGCGTTCAGAACAATGATTTTAAAACAGGGCTCAATATACAAAGTAGAGCCGTAAATATTTATCTTATGCAATGTTACATTATGTTACATTATAACATGCACATATCCACTACAAAATTGTACATATTTGTTTCAACGCCAAAAAAGCGAAAACCTTTATTAAACGTCTCATTAGGTATGTATTTGACCTGATGAAACGTTCAAAAAATGTTTTTTAAAATAAGCATAAACATATTTGCATTTTATTTAATGACAAGGTCTTTTGGTGCATATTGAGTGTAGAAATTGTCCAATGAGTGTTACCTTCGCACTATTTGTGGGGTTGTGTTTCTGTAACTATTATTGTAAATAATTTAAATTGTTTTGAAAATAGGCATATTGTAATTTTACAAATATGGGAAGTATACTGTTGTTCCGTTAGTAATTGATATGCGTAAGATATGTTTGTTTAGGATAGGGGCTTACATTATTTTTAAACAATTTTTTGCATTTGGATTTTTCGTACAGATGTTGGTATATTTACATACATGTTTAAGTTTACAAGCCGGGAACACTTTTCTAACAAATGTAGTGTAATCCATATTGATATTCTGCAGTGTTGGTGGGCCTGCTATATTTATTTCGCAAAATTCTTTCCACGAAAACGCAGTTTCTTAAAAGGTATTTGTATTTAAAAGGCATATTATTGTTATAAGGGTTTTTCATTCAGCTGACGAGCTGTTGTTTATGTTCGGATAGAGATGACTATATTGGTTGTTTTTAGATTAGATAATTAACTTCATATGTTTAGTTTGGTCAACTGGCGTGATGAATGTGAATTTAGGGCTAAACTATTGTCATTGGTATTCATAGTTGAGATATGTATTGTTTTAAAGAGAGAAAAAATAGGACTCTACAGAATCGTTTTCAAAAAGGAAATTATGATCTCGAACTGGAAGGCAGCGATTGCATCTAACCTTATACGATCATAAAAAAATTCCGGTGATAGATTCAATAAATACTAAATACTTCAAATAACACGGTGTAGGGATCAGTTTTAACACATGTAGTATAGGA